GGTGTTTGTCATCTTCAGCCCCAAGTTTGGGATAGACAAAGCTGAAGAAAACCCAAAAAGCTCACTATTGGGTCCCTCCTTGGGTCCAGGCCTTAGCTACCCCAACTTGTCCTCCTTCAGAGTCTGCTCAGGTTTTATCTTAACATTTGACACCCAGGGTATTTAGTAGTACTTAGCAAGAAGAACTAGAAAAAGTCCTGCTTCCTCTACCCAGAAGCAATAATTTAAATTTTAATTTTTAAAACATTTTATTATGGAGAATTCCAAGCCTACACAGCTGTAGAGAGAACTGTCCAGTGAGCCCCATGGACCTACCATCTCCTTTCAACAACTATCAACTCCAGACCTCTTTCACTTTCACCCTGACCTCTTTCCTCCTTCCGAGTCATTTTTAACACCAGCTGTGGACCTCACATTTCAACTATAAACATTCACTGTGTCTTTAGAAAAACACTGTTAATAAATAGTCAGTACCAGGGCTGGGGGGTGTGGCTCAGTTGCAGAGTACTTGCCTAGCCTTGGTGAGGGCCTGGGTGCAATTCCTAAGCACCACAAACAAACAGACAATCAGAAAACAAAAATAAAACCTCAAGACCAACATCACATCAAAAACATTAACAATAAATCCTTAATATCTTCAAATATTCAGTTGGAATTCAAGTTTCCAATTATCTTATAAATTTCATGAAGCTTTCTAACAGTCAGTTTGGAACCAAATAAGGTTCATATAATTTCTTAAATTTCATTTACTCTCTTAATGTCCCTATGTTTTGTTTTGTTTTGTTTTTTTATCCTTCATACCAATCTGTTTAAAAGACACTGGGTCATTTGTTACAATATTTTGGATAAAGTCCCCATACTGTTAGGTAAAAAATGCAAAGTGACCCGGGTACAGCAGCACACGCCTATAATGTCAGCAACTCTGGAAGCTGAGCCTCTGCAAAAGCGAGGTGATAAGCAACTCAGTGAGGGGCTGGGGATGTGGCTCAAGCGGTAGCGCACTCGCCTGGCATGCATGCGGCCCGGGTTCGATCCTCAGCACCACATACAAACAAAGATGTCGTGTCCGCTGAAAACTAAAAAATAAATATTAAAAAATTCTCTCTCTCTCTCTTTAAAAAAAAAAAAAAGGCAACTCAGTGAGTCCCTGTCTCTAAATAAAATACAAAATAGGGCTGGGGATATGAATGAGTGGTTGAGTGCCCCCGAGTTCAATCCCTGGTACTCCCCCAACCCCCAAAAAAAACCAAAGTGAAGAAATCACAGCTAGAACTCATGCAGCACACACAAACAAAAAGGATAGAAAGAAATGCCTCAGACTTTGGTGGAAGGAAAAGAATGGGCAACTAGGAAGTGGGATTTAACTTTATGTTTACTATGGGTTTTTCATTTCGCTTAAAATTTACATAATGATTGGGTAACACTGAAATAAATTTAAACATGCACCTACAACATTGATAAACTTCTACTTCATCTAACTCCAACAGCCTGAACACCAACTTACTGCATCTTGTCAAGGCTTGGTTGGACTCTGGGGCCCTGGCTAACCATGGTTGGTTGGGAGGTTGAACCACAGCCCCACACTCCATAAACTCCTGTGGAGCTGGGCTCACCAAGCCGAGAAACAGCTGGTTCCTTTGATAGCTCCAATGGAAGGGTGTTTAAGACTTGCTAGGCAGTAAAGGCTTCATATAGAACAGAGGTTTTGGAAAAGGTTTCTGCTGAGCTCATGGATGGATGCTTCCAACAAACCTAAGCCAGCAAGGGAGTCCACCACACAAAAACCTTTTTTGTGGCTCTGGGGTTCACCTCCCCCTCAACACAAACTAGGCAAGTCAGAGCTCAATGACTAGATCTGCAAATGCTAACTCACTGGCCACAAGAATCTATTCAACATCCAAAAGGGGTGGGGGGAGTAAACCCCTCGACCCTTTAAAAACTAGATGGAATACTCTCAATTCCTAGGCTCAGGTAGTGAAACAAAGCAATGTAGCTACCTAGGAGAGAGCACAAAAATCAGCCTTGGCTTTCATTTCACCATGGAATAAGGATAATGTCTCAAGGCCCCATCTGTGAAGCCTCACACTGTGGCCCTGTCACCTAAAATGACCATTTTGCTATCCTAGTTTAAAAGGGAAAAGAAGTTAACCAGATTGCCAGGTGGCCCAGCAAGTCCGCTGTAGAATTAAAAGAAGGGACTCAGATACTTGCACACCCATATTCATGGTAGCACTATTCATAAGAGCTAGGAGATAGAAACAACTCAAACGTCTACCAACAGACAAATACATAAACAAAATGTGGCACATGCATGGAATAGAATATTCATCCATAAAAAGGAATGAAATTCTGAACCATGTGACAATGTGAACACTAAAAATATATGCTAAGAGAAGTAAGCCAGACACAAAAGCACAGATATTGTGTGACTCCATTTCTATGAGGTACCTATGCAAACTCACAGAGACAGAAAGTAAAAAAGAGGTTACCAGGAGGAGAGAACAGAGATGGGATATTTTAATGACGGTGATATTTTCGTTCCAGAAGTTGAAGAGTTCTGAAGATGGATAGCGGTGACGGTCGCATGCCACTGTGAATATACTTAATGCCACAGAACTGCTCACTTAAAAATGGTTCAAATGGTGAATTTTGTGTTACATACACTCTACCATGATTTCTAAAATACAAAAAGCTACACATATATAAATATAAAAGAAATAAAGGTTTGTTTCCTCCTCTTGTCTCCAACACTTACAAAGAGACAGAAGGAGGAAATGGCAATGACCAGCCACATTCCTGAACCAGAGTGAATGGTCACATTCTAGAAAACAGCACTGTGAAAGGAAGCCATGTCACATTTAACAATGGGGAAATGGGACAGCCAGTGATAAGGTTATTACAAACAAGCATTCTATGTCTTGATTAGATTCAATGTGTTTGGTCAATTTTGTTGACCAGGGATTTGTTTTGCAGCTTTTTTGCCATTAAAAGGGAACAAAGTCTTCCAACTCAGGGATTCCCCTCATTCCAATTATGGTTCAGAGAAAGCAACATGAGCATGCCAACTTTCAGTAAGTACAAATGAAAGGAGGACTTCCAACAAAGTCCCCAGTTCCCACAAACACAAATCATTGCATAGACCCCACTTCAATGCCAGAGAGAACCTCGAGTGGCAAGTGCATCCTCACCAGCATTACTAGGCTTTCCGTGAGTCTAAAACGTGCCCAAAAAGACCCATGAGAAGACCCAGCCACTGAAAGCGAGAACAACACCTGGTCAACATCTCTGGCCTGACATGTGTCATCTTAAGGCTTAGCTGATGCCTACAGGGAAAACACTTTACTCAAAGGGAATGTGTTTACAGGACATCCTGTGAGACATATGCCTGGAACTCTGCAAAAAGCCAATACTACCAAAAAAAAAAAAAGTTTGGGGAAATTATTCTATATTTATAGAGTCTAAAGAGGAATAACAAATGTAGCATATAAACCTCAATCAAATCTTAATATGTAAGGTTGTCTATTATAATAGAAAAATTTTCAGGAGAATTTGAATACAAACCAGATATCAGATGATGTGAAATTATGGTCAATTTTCTTATATGTGATAATGAATCCTGTGATTAAATAAGAGGCCATCTTATTCTGAGGAGAGGCTTACTGAAGAATTGAGATGTGAAATGTCACTATACCTGCATCTTTTTTTTTTTTTTGGTCTCAGGGACCAGAAAACCCCTGAACCCCTCGTGAACCCCTGAACCCAGGGGTACTCTACCACTGAGCTGCATCCCCAGCTCTTTTTATTTTGAAGCAGGATCTCACTAAGTTACTAAGACTGGCATCAAATTCATGATTCTTCTGCCTTAGCTTCCCAAGTTGCTGGGATTATAGGATTGCACCACCACGCCCAGCTTACTTTTTACTAATTGAACAAGTGCACACATAGAAAGACACAAATAAATGTAAACACAAAGCCAAAAAATTATTCAGTTAGAATGGTAACAATTATTAATTCTGGTATGGGTTATATAGGATATAGTGTGTATAAATATTATCCCGACTGCAATTATGAAAATTAATAAAATATACTTCTCCTCTTCTGCATAGAAAAGAGAGAAAGCTGGGGATGTGGCTCAAGCGGCAGCGCGCTCGCCTGGCATGCGTGCGGCCCGGGGTTCGATCCTCAGCACCATATACAAACGAAGATGTTGTGTCTGCCAAAAACTAGAAAATAAATATTGAAAAATTCTCTCTCTCTCTCTCTCTCTCTCTCTCTCTTTCCTCTCAAAAAAAAAAATTCTGTCTCTCTCTTTTAAAAAAAAAAAAAAAAGTAAGAAAAGAGAGAAAGCTGTATCTCGCTGTGCCGATCCTTACCAAAAATCAAGCTGTGCAATCACGCAACTATTCTCTTTTCAAAGTTAGTGTACTTGAAGTCAGGTGCCAACCAAGGCACCAAATGCCTTGAAATGGCTTCAACCCAGTATCATGTTGTGAGCAACACTCTGTCCTGTAGATGTCTCAGAGTCTCATAAACAGGATGTCTCCATAAGGAAGTTTCTGCCAGGGGTTAACAATAACTCCCATCCCATCTGGAAACCTGAGACCACTTTTGTATAACAGGAGAAATGAATCAAGGGTCAGATGACTCAAGCTCTTGCCTGCCCCCATCAGTGATGAGTGACCTGAGGCAAGACCTATCCCCACTCCTTGTGGACAGGCTCTGATTCCTCTTCTGAAAATGGGAGCAATGGCCCTTTCTCTGTTGCAGGGTCACTGCACTAACATCACAAAGCAGCAAACTCCTCATTCTCTATCATAAGATGGTCAGAAATAATGGATCTCTAGGATAAAAGGAAAAAAGGCACGTAACAAAGAAGGCCTAGGATATCTGGAAGGATTAAGCCTGTCCTATCGTCTTTATTCAGAACATTCCCGGCAAAACCACATAACAATCCCCAATACCAGAGGACAAGCCTCAAAGCCAAAAGGACCAGCTCTTACCTCTGCCATAGGCCCTGGCTTTCTTTGGGTTGAGTTTGGGTTTAAGAGGAGCTCCTGGTTTGAGCTTGGCTTTGGGGAACTGGGATAGGTAAGTCATCACTGAGTGTTCATCCACATCTGGGTGAATAATTTCTTCAGGAGTGATGACCTAGAAAAACAACATGGCAGATGAATACCCAGAATGTCTCACTTGGCAACCACTGAAAATTTTGCAAATAGTTCTTAAACCAAATGCTACAAATGCTAAGAAATTGAGTCAGCTTCTCACTGAAGTGAAATACATTAAAGTGAAATACATTAAACCGAAATGCCCAGATTGGCGTTTTTAACCTCTTAGAGGATAAAGCTGGGGGATCTTTTCCAGAAAATTCTCCACATAATTTCCAGAGATTCATTCTCTTCCCTCCCAAAATAAGACTCCTCTCTCTCCCCTGGCCAAACATTCCAAAAAAGGATAAAGCAATAAGCCTCAGCAAACAGGAGGAAGAAGAAAGAAGGAAACACACAGGATTCAAAAATACCATTTAAAAAAGTACATAGATAAAACAGCATTTTACTTATAAATCCACTCTCTACATCTCTATTAACTCTACTAATAAAAATAAACAAAATCAGTAGGAGACAATACAGGGACATATTAGATATGTGGTCTCAATCTATCAGGAGTCATTAAAAAATAAAATAGGGAGTGGGTGAATTTCTCCTGACACTCAGCTTAAGATAAGATCTACATTGGACAGGTGACCTCCATGAAGGTGGTAAAAGCCTCAGTGCCACCACTGATACAGACCTAACAGCATGCCAAATGCTCCCTGTCCCCAACAATGGTGCTGAGCGGGTAAGCCACCACTCCTTAAACAAAAGGAAGGCTTGGTCTCCTGACCCAGGTTACCCAAACGCTATAAACTGATGTGTTCAACTTCCCCCTCCCTGACATAAAAAGCAACAAAGGAAAACATTCTGATGATTAGTCTGCAAGAACAAAATAGCTCTTTGGGTTTGAACAGTGGCCTGTAATACATTCCATATAAAATTGATGTGCACAGGTTTGGCATTTCTCCCCAGCAGCTCCTTTAAAACTTTACAGTGCTAACATCATATGAACGTCAAAAGGAGATGGTTTTAGGTTTAAAAGGAGATGAAAAACATACCACACCACTTCCTGAGGGTGGGTGAGCCAAGAAATAGGTCATGTAGCACAGACATGATTCCAAAACCAAACCAAGGAAATAGGCAAGTTTTTCTACCTTCCTAGCAATCCTGTTACAAAATATACTAAAATCAGCTCTGAACACCAACTCAGACCTTAGTGGAGCCTAGAGTGAGGTCCTCAGCAGCACAGTACCAACTATCTACAACTTCTCTTTGATCAGGACTTTGACCGTGGGAGTCATGGTTGCTTAACTACCAAAGGTAGTTTTTTTAGAAAGAAACACTGGATTTCCTCCCTGCTAGGAAGAATGGACATCAGCTAAGCAATGTAGCTATCATAGATGGTATCTTAGTCTTTTTTCAAGTTCTTTTGTTATTCCTGTGACATGATTACGGGCAATACAAATTCTTCCACAATTCCCATTAATAGTGAGTTATCCCTGTTTACAGTGTTTTTAAAAGTTCTAAGTCCTGTTAGTATAGTGTTGCACGCGTATAATCCCAGTGGTTCGGGAGGCTGAGACAGGAGGATCTTGAGTTCAAAGCCAGCCTCAACACTGGTGAGGCACTAAGCAACTTAGTGAGACCCTGTCTCTAAATAAAATACAAAATAGGGGATGTGGCTCAGTGGTTGAGTGATACTGAGTTCAATCCCCGGTAACTCCCGGCCACCCACAGAAAAAAAAAAAGGTCTAAGTCCTATGACTTTCCCTAAAATATCAGATTGAAATTGTTTTTCTTTTATATAGGTAAAAGATGATTGAATACTGACAATTTCTTATGGTTCAACCTAATAGCTAAGGTCCACATTTGCTACTTGGGGCTTAAAGACTGCCTTTAAAGTATTTGGAGCAAAAAAAGTAGAAAATTTAGAGACAGGGAAAGGAAGTCCAGGTAACAATTAGCCCTATGGACACAGAGGCTGAGATGGTGTCTGTTCTGGCCCAAGCTGGAAACCGTAGGCCACACTGGCTATGCATGTAGCTGAGGACAAACATGGACACAGGATGCTCCCAGCTGGTGAGGTCCATGAGTTTTCAGCAGCCCTGAACTGCTCTGAAAATGGTGGCGAAAAACAACATCAGGGAAAAACCTAAGCAGACTCCACCTGAGCTCTTTCTGCCCAGCCATCCCACCTAGACTCACCTTCCAGGGTCTGTAACAGAGGATTCTTCACCTCTTATCTTTCAGATAAATAATTTTTTTTCTGTACAGTAATACTTACCTAGTAATAAATACTGATTATCATATCACATACACACACACACACACACACAGAGGAAGTAAAAGAAAAACAAAGTTTACCAGCATGTGATTTTAGGTGATCCAAAAGCACCTAAATCCACGAGAATCTATTATTTATTATGAGTAAACTGAGGGAGGTGGGAGAGGGCCAAAGGCCATGTTCTTGGAAGGCTGAATGCCAAGATCAGACTGCCTCTATAACCCAGAAAGGTATCCAGAGTGGCAGAAATAAACCAAGGGATGGGGCAGGTTCATGGGACATGGCACGTGTGTTTATACCTGTGGGACACCCAGCCAGTCATCTGCCTGCTGCATGGCTTCTCGGGCATTATCCACAGGCTTCCGTGGATCCCAGGACTCCCAGTCTGGGCACAGACCTGTTAATACAAAAGATGCTGTTAGCAGAGCAGACCCAAGAGATTAAAAGAAGCCACGTGTCTAAAATTAAACCCATTTACTCTCTTAACTCAAGAAAAAAATTTCCTCCAAAATCTCAAGTGAATTCTATATTTTAAGGATCACACTCTTCTATATTACCAGAGGCTTCTCCTTTAGGCTGCTATGTTCCCGCATTAAGATAGGGGCTCCCCATTCCTTGAAGATCTGCTATGACAAACAAAGCCGATAAGATTATGTGGATTTCATGACTTTTGGGGGGAGAAATTCTTTTGATCCTATTCCTGGATAGAGCTGAAAAAGACAGAACTAGCATCTGTGTGGTTCAAAAATCTACTTGCATGAAGACACAGTCATAGAATTATTTTCAAAGTCTTTATAAACACACGAAGTATAGGACTGGAGTAAAAAATCTCAGATTTAAATTGGGAAGAGGCATCCTAAATTCTGTTTTTAAATGAATGGAAGAAGAGGGCAGTGGGAGATGAACTAATGCTGTGCTTCAAGTTCTTCCTGAATATACCACATTATGGGCTTCCAAGGAAGAATGCAGCTTGATCAGCCCTCCTCCTTTACTCAAAGGACACTAGCTAGCACTCCTTTGGTTGTATTTAGGACTGCTACCTTATTAGATACTACCTTATTAGATACTAATGTGAGTTGGGTGTAGTGGCGCACTTCTGTAATCCCAGAATCTCAGGAAGCCGTGACAGGAGGACAACAAGTTTGAGGCCAGCCTGAGCAACTTTGTGAAAACCTGCCTCAAAATGAAAATAAAAAGGACTGGAGGTGTAGCTTAGAAGTAGAATACCCCTGGGTTATCCCTGGTGACTCTTTTCTGAGTGGCTCAGTGTACACCAAGATTGTAAAACAAACAAAAATCTAATGTGCCCAGCATATACAGATCACTCAGTGGAAAATATAATTATCAGAGTAGTTTTTTTTTTTTTTATTAAAAACAATTTTAGAGGGTGCATGTAAACACTGGCTCTGGTTTTTCTATTGAGTATAGGGTGGTAAACTCTATCCATCAATCTAAACCCTTCCAGTGAGGATAATTACAATCTTGGTGTACACTGAACCACTCAGAAAAGAGCCCATCAAGGGTGGAAAAGACTCCAACTGGATCCTGATCAAGCACTATTCCACAGCAATACAGAAAGAAAGGAGTGAAAAAAAGCCATATATAGTCAAACCAGTGGTTAATAAAAACAAGAACTTTCCACTCTATGGAAGTTTTTAGATTTTCAGGCCAAGCCACCTAAGAGGGTCACATATTTCTGCCAAAGCCATCCAGAAACCAGGCACCAATGTGGGAAGACACAGGACTTTGGAGTCTGAAAGCTAAACCCACGGTCTGCTCCAAGCATAAGCACTGAGGCCTTTGCTGGGAATTTAGAAGACTAGATTCAATGCTCCAACGTATCTGTGGACACACCTAGAACAACTGCCACTGGGAGGGGGAACAGTCATTTTTAGTTCCATTATTTGTCACAGAGTAGGCTAAAACCAGGAGACACACACCAGTTATAGCTAAGCTTGAAGCCAACCCCAGAAGTTTAGGGCCCAATGACTCCCATCCCAAGAGATGATTTAGGCAGAAAGGGTACTTACCTGGAGCACAGCTGTCAACCAGGGCTCCCAGGGCTTTGCCATCTTGCCAGTTCTGGTTGAAGTTGGTGATAGGCAAGTAGGGGATCTTGTTCTGAATCCATCCCAGCAGCCTCTGCTTTGGTGTCTGCTTCTTGGCATCGTCATCCCCTTCATCCTCCCACACGGGCATGGAGATGGAATAGTGGAGAATCAGCGTCCATACCAGGCCCAAGATGAGCTTCAGGTTCCCATCCACAATGGCTTTGCTATCTGTGGAGACAGGCATAGGTGTGGTCATTCTTTTGGGTGACCCAAGCATGAATCATGCCCCTGAGTGAATGAAGTTCTCACCCCTAAGATATTTGAGAGTGAATGGGCACAATGCTAGGATTTACATCAAAATACTTGAGGATGGGAATAGAGGAAATAGGATTCCAAAATGTTATTCACTGGCACCACTGGATCATGAGGATGCACTATACTATTGTCTCTATGTGGATGCTTGAAATTTTTCATAAGAAAAAGTTTTTACAATTTATAAAAAATCATTTCAGAAATATAAACAATAAAAAGGGGTCTAAGCTAAGGTCGTGGCTCAGTGGCAGAGTGCTTGCCTAGCACATGTGAGACACTGGGTTCAATCCTCAGCACCACATAAAACTAAATAAATAAAATAAAGATATTGTGTCCATCTACAACTAAAAATTTAAATAAATAGATAGGTACATAAGTAAATTTTTAAAGGAGGGTGGAGGCATCACTGAGAAAACCACCTGCTAACCTGGTGTCACAGTCCAGACTGTATGTGTATATGCTTGTATACACTAATGTCACAGTGTTTGCTGCCCTGAATGTATATTATACTATACTGTTAACTGTTTCGCAGTGCTGGGGATGGAACCCAGGGTCTCACACGTTAAGCAAGTGCTTTTCCAATGAGCTACATCTCCAGCAGCTTTTAAATGCTTCTTTGCACTATTTATTATGTCTTAGTCATCCTTTCCTTATAAATATTGTTTTCATTTATACTCCTTTCTATAGGTTTTTAGAGGACAGAGTCCTCTTAAATTCTCACCAATGCTCAGTGTTTTCAGTTTTGACAAAAATTGACAAGTCAATTTTTCAAAAGAGGAAATCATTTAATAGTTAAAATGACGCAAATGGGCAAAGCCAAGGGGGGGAGTGGGAAGCCAAAGTCATAGCCCCTTTCTAGTCTTCCCTTTGCTTGACAAAACATCACACTTTGACCAGCGCTTCCAGTTCTCTGTCCTTTTATCAACGTCCATCTACACCCACAAAACTCAAACAACAGCTGGGTACAGCAGTGCATTCCTGAAATCCCATCTCAGGATGCTGAGGCAGAAGGATCACAAGTTTGAGGCCAACCTGAGCAACTTAATGAGACCTGCCACCAAGCTGGGGTGTATCTCAGTGATACGGCAACCCTGGGTTCAATCCCCCATACAAATGAATAAAAAAAAAAAAAACTCAAGCATTATAAATATTATCTTTAAATATCTCTATCCCTCAGTTTCTTATCTCCCTCACTACCAAACATCCACCCCCTTGTACAGGGACCCCAAGCTGAAAACAGTAGAACTACTCTGGGATCTTCCTTCAAAACCCTGGTATAGTTTGCACAGTGTATCATCTCCCCCTACCCTAATCTCTTGGCAAATCTCTATACCTTCCCAATAAACATCAACCTTCTCCTCTTTTGCAGCATCTTGAACAGCCATTGAAGAAGTTAAGTCTCTGTTCACATAACCCAGCACCATCTTTCTAGTCCTTATTCCCTGGTCCTGACTTCCACAGTCAACTCCTTAAACACACCTTCAGAACCTACACAAGTTCCAGTGAGCTTTACCCTTGTCACCCGTACCCACCCACCATAACCATTCTCAGGCTCAAAGATGGCCTATTCCCCCAAGATATCTTATTCTGAACCCCAGGGCCTTTTGGTATTCTGTATTCCTTTGATGGAAAAACTCTTTACACCATCCTCCTACAAGACAAACCCTGGTTCATCATTCAGGCACCAAACCTCAAGGTTGGTGGCGCAACATTCCCACCAGCATGTGTATTGTAAACATGCCAGGGACCTCTCCCTCAACATAGGACCTTCTGTCCATTTCCCCGACTCCTACCCTCAGGCCCCAGGAATGCCTAGTAGAGAGTAGCCAATCCTTCTTCATCTTTGAGTCACTCCTGTGTCCCACCACAAGCCACCTGGGTTACACATACACCAGATTGTACACAATGAAACCCAACTACAACCACATGCCGCTAAGGAGTGTATGGTCTGCCACTCAAAACTGAAAGACTGAGGGCTTTTTAAAAATTAAGCTGGTTGGGGCTGGGGTTGTGGCTCAGGGATAGAGCGTTTGCCTAACATGCTTGAGGCACTGACCCTGTCTCAAAATAAAAAATATTCGATCCTCAGCACCACATAAATGCAAAATAAAGATAACGTATCTACTTAAAACTAAAAAATAAATATCAAAAACAAATAAATTAAAAAATCTAAAAATTAAGCTGGTTATTGTTGGATCTCTTACAACAAAAGATCCTCTAAAAGCCCACACCCAAACCCACAGAAACCAAGAACAAATTTCACAGTTGCAGATTCAGGCATAATAAAACCTGATCACGTACATTGGACAAATAAAGATTATCATGAACTGGCTGGTTAGACAAACTAAATTCAAGCAATCTTCACTCCAAGCGTGAAGGTATCCAAGAATTTTCTATGTAATTAATTGTTAAATAATAACTTTAAAGCAGGACTATCTACATAATTCATAGTACCTAGTTTAAAAAAAAAATGGAAATGCAGGGCCCTTTGCCCAAAAAGCATGGAGAATTTAAAGACCACAACATCATTAAATCAAGTGGAGAGCCCTTCTGAGCATACAGGTTGTTTGAACACAAGGCCAGTCCTGCTTCTAAGGTCCTCCAGTCAATATAGGAGCAGTGGTCCACAGAAAACCCTGGACTCTGCACTTGGTATCTGAGCAATTAATTCATCCCCAGGACCAGAAACTTCTCCAGCTGGCAGTCCTTGTCCATGACTAAAATTTTTAGATTATACATCCTGTTACAAGGTTATCTTTGAAATGCTATTCATTGCCAACTTATTACCTATCGATCATCCCAGAATTTCCAGGTCAAATTTCCATTCTAGTTTCCTTTATTCAAGCTAAAGGCTTGAAGAATAATCTTCAAAAATGTGGGCAAGCAAGATGTAGTGGTGCATATCTGTAATTCCAGTGACTGAGGAGGCTGAAGCAGGAGGATCACAAGTTTGAGGCCCTCAACAATTTAATGAGGCACTAAGCAACTTGGCAAGACCCTGTTTCAAAATAAAAAATATAAAGGGCTGCAAATGGAGCTTAGTGGTTAAGTGACCCTAGGTTCAATCCCTAGTGCCTTGAAATAAAAGTGGGAGGGTGAGAAAGAGAAAGTGGGGGAGTGAAGCTTATGTGTGTCACCTAGCCACAAGCCACCAGTGTGCAAAACTCAAAACCTCACAGAATTTTGTGTTAAATGCTTTTCAAAAGCAAACCTGAAGATTTAATTCATAACTCAAAACACAAAGCAAGTTTGCTGTTTTGCTGTATTTTTATCTAGCTTACACATGCTGCTCTAAAGGAAAGAGACAAGAATCTTTTTTAAATCAAAAAGATTTGCGGGGGGGGGGGGATATGACTCAGTTAAAGTCTGAGCCAAATTTATGAAAAATATAATGCCCAGGATTCTGTTTCCAATGAATTCAAGGTGGGTGTCCAAATGGGAAAGCCCCCATTACAGTCTCACTGGGATAAATGATACCTTCATTCTGCTATTCTAAGAAGCTGGAGGGAAAACAGTCCTTGTTCCAAAAGTGATTTTGACAGGTGAAAGTTCAAATGCCTGACCACATTCTTGGAACAATAAAAAATGGCAACTTACCCAAAAGGCCTCCCCAGTTCCCATCCACAGGAAACAGGAGACTCCCCAGGCCTTGAAAACAAAAGGCTACACAACATTACAGAATCACTGTCTAACCATTACCACAGATTACAGAATTTTCAGACCTGAGTGTGCTCAGCAATGTTTATACTGACTGTAAACATGGAGCAGAAATGTAAACGGAGTGGCTGGGGCTGTAGCTCAGTGGTACAGCACTTGCCTAGCATGAGTGAGGCCCTGGGTTCGATCCTCAGCACTACATATAAATGAATGAATGTGAGTTGTGTCCATCTACCAAAATAAAAAGAAATGTAAAAGGAGGAAAAGGTCAAATCAGTCAAAAGCCTCTACAGGTTGAGGGTTGCTTGAGGGCCTTTTTCAGAAATAAGGTAGCACCCAGCATGCCTGCCCCATCTCCTGGTGGGGGCAGATGTCAGTGCACTGGAATCTGAGCATTGATTCCTCCTCCCAAACCCCAATTGCAGTTCCTACATAACCATTCCTGGTTCCGGACAAAACTGATCTTCAAACCATACACTCTCTCTCAAACTATGTTAAATTATCCAGTGTTGCTTTTAAGTGAGGTCAGAAGTTGTTTTGTTTTTTTTTTTTTAATTTTAATTGCTGGAAAATTCAGTTGAGCTACTTATCATTTCTGCACATCAGTTCTCCAGCCCTCATTAAGATACATTCCATATATGCAGTGGGGGTATTTACAGGTAGAAGCCAGCTATTTTTAGTCTCTCTGCAAAAGCATCTTGGAAACGTCTATTTAGAGAACCAGTTCCCCAGAGTAAGGGAGACGAAGGCCTTTCTGATCTCCATTCCTATTAGCAGGGCCAATCCATGCAACCACCTGTAAATCCACCACATCTAACACTGCATTATCCACAGGGTTCCCAGAGGCTGTCAACAATTAACCAAGTTCACCTTGAGGTGGTAACCCACGAAGAAAGGTTATCTTTGGCCATAACACAGCTAATAGAAAGGTCAGAAACAGCCAATGAGTGACTACAGGAATCAAGGAGTTATACAGTGTGGCTAGGACATGTCACCAAGGCCATGTTCCACACTATGACTTGATCTTTTGGGAATAGCTCTCTCTCCCTGTCCCTTCAGCTCCATCACCCTCCAAGAGGCAGCATGGCAGAGTAGTTGCAATAACAGGCTCCAGAGCCAGCAGCAACTCAACTGTTTTACATTTAGAATGACCCCTCCTCCCCCATCTATTAAGTAGGAATGTGAACAACTTCATGGGATTGTTATAAAGAGTAGGCAGATCAAAGAATGCCAAGAGTTGAGCACAATGCAGGATACAC